AGCGAGTACGGGATTCGGGGAAGAAACCAGAAAAAAACGACTGAGGATTGGCAGGCGAAGTAACGTCCACGGGTTCCGTACCCTGATCTGATGGCTCACCATCGTTCCAACTGTAACAGAAAAAAAGACAATAGGCAAAATTCAGACACCTTCACGCTTCGAACACAGCGGCAACAGTTACTCCGCCAACAATTCAATTAAAACAAGACGTTTTCTATTCTCTCCTATTTTTGAAAGAGTAGATACTGACGTCATAATAGAGGAAATCGCTTTTACAGAGAGACCTGCGTGCTGGGGCGTTTCACTGGAATCAAAGTGGTATTCTGAGTGTCCTTCCTGCTTAGGTCGTTTTTAGGTTGGACTGGCGCCGAATCCTTACGATTTTCCTTGAAAGGGCTTAAGGACTGTCAAAGATGGCTGACTACTGGAAAAGCAATCCAAAAAAGTTCTGTGACATTTGCAAATGTTGGCTTGCCGACAACAAAATTGTACTTCCGTGTTACTCATCTGAATAGCTTTTACTTGCAGAGCATCACCAACCATGAAACTGGAATGCGGCACAAGGCAAATGTGCAGAAGAAATTGAGTGATTTGCGAAAAAACTGCAAAGAGTCCACCGAAGGGAAGATGCGGGAAAAGATCTCACTAATAAATGATGTATGTTACTTTTTTCGGTTCATTTTTAGATGGCTTTTGTTGGAATGATGAAGGACATTGAACGAGATCCTAGCATTGCAAAACGTTATGGTGTATCTCTGACCGGTATGTCTGCCTATTATAATTATATTTTTAGACGAAATGTTTGCTAACATGAAAAAGAAAATCAACGAGCTTGAAAAACCTGGAGACAGTAGCAAACCTAAAGCGCCACCTGCGTCAACTGCGCCTCGCCCACCCACACAAACGGGGTATGAATGGAAAGAGGTTAAGACTGCTGACGGATCTATTTATTACTGGAATAAAAAAACAGGTGTCACACAGTGGGAGAGGCCACAAGCCTCGATTGAACCTGTTGATGACTCTGCCGCAGTTCAAAGGGAAAAACAACGCCTTGATCAATTTCTATTTAACAGGCTTATCGAACTGAGCGAGTCTGGACATTCTGGAGCTAATGAAGCCGTTTGTCAGGCCTTTGACGCGCCTCTACCTTCATCTACAACTGAAGACGAACAGGACGCCGACAGTGACAATAAAACAGAAGATCCAATTGAAGGTCCAATCGAACCGGCCGCGCCTCCTTCACCCAAAAAGCCGAAAATCAAAGTAAATCTACTAGGAGAATGGCAGCCAGTACTACCCGAGTAAGTGATAATTTTCCGTTTTCTAATTCTAAAAGTACTTATATTGCATATGTTTACCTACAACATCTGAGTTCCCCCGTTCGCAAAATTGTTCCTTTGACAATACTACCAAAGCGCAAAGCCAATATAGGTTTTCTATTTCCTATTTCCAGGC